CCATCCTCTACGCGCTGCCTAGCGGCAAGTACCATAGCTGATTGCCGCAAACTCCATGCCTTAGATTAGTATAGACGTTCCGCAACAGCGTCGATGCAATGAGTATCCCCATGATTGTTCAATCGGTTTTATTGTGCAAGGTTTGATCAGCTTTGCGGTACAAATCGCGGCAACGAGCTGAAAATGTTCTAAATTTGATTGACTGGGCGTCTCGCCTAAATGATTAACGTTGTGTGACGTTGCTGCATTACGTACCCTTGACCCCGTCTAGAGGATCGTGGGGCTGATAATACTTTTAATCTTTATTCTTCTTGCTACATCATACTACCAGTGCCTTATCTCTTTTTCGGAGAAGCTCACACTGGCACTTTCTTGAAAAGCTAAATATTTACAAACAGTAATTCAAATTCTATATAGTACTCTTACCTCAGCCACAAAGCCACTGCATGTGCTTATGCTGGAAGTATTGAAGTTCTACTGTTACTTACTGTTCTGCAGTAACATAATAATGTTTGATAGCTGCTCTTTGGCTTTCTTAGAACAAATAAACTGATTTCGTGACAGACGGACAGACACACAAGACACAAACATACATATGCACACGCATGCATGCATGCACACATACACACATACATACTACATACACACATTTTGGAGTAGTCGGAAACGCTTATTACGAGTATATTCTCCTTCGATAGAGCCCTACTGTAGGATTCGTAAATAAAAACCACAGTATTTAACGGAGTTGTCTGAAATGTGGCCTAGTAGGGTCATTCATGCTATACAAACATCTTAGCCACATCGCACAGCAAACCTCCAGTGTGTGATTAAGGTGCATGCACAAGGTCATCATTAATTACTGAAAAAAAAATTGGATAACTTTATGTTTTCTGCTTTACCATGAGGTTGATATGATTTTCGCGACCAGTATGTCATCTAAGCCCAGCAAACCACTTACCAGAAAAATGAGTAGATTTCAATCTGCATATACCTACCATACTCCTGCAGTAGGGGGAATGGCTATAATTTTTGTAATCAGCACAGCAAATAGCAAAAGCAAAAGGCAACACTTATGAAATCCGTCTCACAATCAAGAGAGATGAAGCTTTCGGTTGAGCTTTTTAGCCCTCTGAGTATAGATTCCTAAAAGATTCCAATTCA